CTCTCTCCAGAACCTTATAAGGCCCACAATACATGGGTGCTATCTTGTGCCAAGCCCGTCTTACTACCGAGATCTGGCGGTAAGGTTGGAGCTCAAGGTAAACGAAGTTATCCACCTGAAATTCTAATTGGCGGTGGTGAATGTCATAGCGGGCCTTCATTCGATGTTGGGCTTTTGTCAAGTTGGACTTAAGCAATATAAGAATCTCGTCTCTCGCAAGTAGACGGGTCTCTACTTCTGTCACCTTGGATGACCCATATTCATAAGGTAATATGGGAGGAGATTCTCTGTCATATAGAGCTTTGAAAGGTGTCATTCCAGCAGTCGACTGATAAGTCGAATTGTACCAGTATTCTGCCCACGGAAGCCAATGAGCCCACTGTCGAGGCTTTTCCCCTATGAAACATCTAAGGTAAGCTTCCAAGCAACGATTAAGAACTTCAATCTGCCCATCAATCTGTGGGTGATAACTTGTGGAGGGGTGCAGTTGGGTTCCTTGCAACCGAAAATATTCCTCCCAGAATGAACTCAGGAAAACAGGGTCCCGATCTGAGACAATGGATCTTGGGGTTCCATGTAGCTTGGCGACGACCCGGATGAAGATGTCAGCCACCATTGCTGCAGTGTAAGAGCGAGGTAATGCAAAGAAATGGCTGTACTTGGTGAGACGGTCAACCACTACCATGATAATCTCCTTTCCTGCAAAACGAGGAAGACCCGTGATGAAGTCCATGGAAAGGTCTTCCCATACATGATAACCTCCTTTCATGACTATGATGAGTATTTCTACTGTTGGCAGGTTTGGCATTCGGATACATAGTGCAATACATCCTTACGCATTCCTACCCAATGATAGTGGCTGTTGAGCCTCTTTAGGGTCCGTAGCATCCCTAAGTGCCCTCCCAAGGCGGAGTCATGAAACAACCTTAGCAATTCAGCTTTGTGGGCCGAATTCTAGGCAACAACAAACCGACCCCTAAAGAAAAGATCAGGCCCCACAACTTGGTAACCAACAACTTGTGAAGGGTCTCACCTCCACTTATCTCTAATGACCTGCAACTGCAGATCAGACCTGGCTTCTTGCCGTATAGCTTCGAACAAAGGGAAGTTGGGCTGAGAGCAGGTCAGATGGGCTAACTCTTCTACTCGTGACAAGGCATCARCTACTCTGTTTACGGGCCCCAGCTTATATTCTATGAGGTAGCCAAAGCCCATCAGTTTACTAATCCATTTTTGCTGCTCCGGGGTGTGCATCCTTTGCTCCGCTATGTACTTCAAACTTCGTTGGTCTGTCCTAATAACAAATTGGCGTCCCAATAGATATGCACGCCACTTTTGCACTGCCATTACCACAACCATCATTTCTTTGACATAAGTGGACTGACTTTGGTGAACTACTGAGAGAGCCTTGCTGAAATAAGTAATGGACTGTCCTTCTGCATCAAAACGGCCCCTACTCCTACACCCGACGCATCACATTCTATTTCAAAGGGCTGAAAGAAGTCTGGAAGAGTGAGGACTGGAGGGCTAGAAACTGTTGTCTTCAAGTCCTCAAAAGCCCGTTGGGCTTTATCAGTCCAATTGAAAGAATCCTTCTTTAATAGACACGTTAGAGGGGCGGCCATAAGCCCATACCCCTTAATGAAGCACCTATAATATCCGGTAAGCCCAAGAAAGCCCCGTAGAGCCTTTATAGTAGTGGGCTTGGGCCAATTCTGGATGGCGTCTTCCTTTTCTGGGTCTGCCATGACCCGACCTACTGTAACCACATGGCCTAAGTATTGAATTTGTCATTGTCCACAGGAACACTTTGTCATTTTGGCATGTAACTAATGCCCCCTTAGAGTTGTGAGGGTGAGTTTCAGATGTTCCATATGTGTATCCCAATCCCTGCTGTACACTAGAATATCATCGAAAAATACCAGAATAAATCGCCTTAGGAATGGCCTGAAGATGCCATTCATGAGGGCCTGAAAGGTGGAGGGGGCGTTGGTGAGTCCAACAGGAATAACCAAAAACTCATAATGGCCATCGTGGGTGTTAAAGGTCGTCTTGTGGATATCAGCCTGGTGGACCCGAATCTGATAATACCCGAACCACAGGTCTAATTTGGAGAATACTCGTGCCTCTCCTAACTCATCCAGTAATTCATCAATGAGGGGTATAGGAAACTTGTCCTTCACGGTAATCTGATTCAAGGCCTGGTAATCTACACAAAAGCGCCAACTATCATCATTCTTCACTAAGAGTACAGGAGATGAAAAAGGGCTGGTGTTGGTCTGTATATGCCCTTTTTCCAATAGTTCTCTCACTGCCTTCTCAATGAAAGTAAGGGTATCTATATGGCCTTACAATGGCCTGTTTAGAACCGAGTAAGAGTGGTATCTGATGATCATGAGCCCGGGGTGGAGGTAATTGGTTCGGCTCCTTGAATACATCGCCAAACTGATCGAGTATCGATCATAAGGCCTCGTGTTGGGCTTCTGTGGGGTGAACACAACCCTGGTTATCCAGAATTGGGACTGTGGGCCGAATGCCTAAGTGCATAAATATGGGTTGGCCAGCATCCTTGGAGGCCTGTATCATGGAGGCTAAAGTGTCACCTTATGGACTAGGGGGCCGCACCCCTTGTAAATGACAAGTCTGGCCATCCTGGTGAAAATCCATTGTCATTTTGGCCCAATCACATAGAGCAGGGCCCAAGCCACGCAACCAATGAATCCCCAAAATAATATCAGCCCCCGAGAAATCCAATGGGTGAAGATCTACCATTACATGACATATGACTCCCATTAGCCACATGGATTGAAAATAGAGTGGGTTGTATGGTCATACCTAGCTGCTTAGCCAAACGGCAAGTGATGAAATTCAAGGTAGAGCCACTGTCAATCAAAATCATCACGGTCCAGCCCACCAATCTTCCTTCTACACGCATGGACTGAAGAGAGTTGAGGCCCATAAGGGCGTGTAAGGAGATCTCGGCCCCGTCAGGTTTTGGTCTGTCTGGAATCAGTTCATAGTCATTTAAGTGCTTTGGGTTTGTCCCTTCCGGCTCTTCCTCTGTCTGTAGGAGAAACACCCGCTAGACCCGGCATTTATGGCCTAGTCCAAACTTATCATCACAGTTATAACAAAGGCCTTTCTCGCGTCTGGCTTGCATCTCAGCCCATGAGAGACGTTTGAAGGGCATAGTGGGCCGGGGCAATATGGGCTTTTGATTATCCCCAGCCGGTTTCATGGGCTGTTGATCGACCCGTGGAGTCCTCAAATTCAGGTAGGTCGGTTTGCTAGTTCTACGAAGGTTGTTGATTCTTTCTTCTTGTAGGTGAGCCAATCCCAACGCAGCCATGACAGTCGTTGGACGGAGAGCCCTCACCTCCAGACGGATATCCTCTCTGAGACCTCCCACAAAACATCCTACTAAGGCTTTCTCCAGTCATCTGTGTACCTTGGTTGCCATCCACTCAAACTCGAGTTGGTACTTTGCTACCGTTCCAATCTGCTTCAACTGAGTGATAAGCTCGTTGTAGTCCGCAAACGTCGTCGGCCCAAAGCAGATGCACAAAGCTTCGGTGAACTCCGTCCAAGTTACCTGGAGATGATTCTGGCGATACCACTAGAGCCATAGAATCACGTCTCCTTCTAAATGAATGGAAGCGATGGAGACACGTTGGTGTGCAGGAGTTTCATGGTATTCAAAATATCTTTCTACTCGGAAGATCCAAGGAATGGGATCTCCACCATAATAATTGGGAAAGTTGATCTTAGTGACTTTTTCGATGGGGTAATACCCTATTCTTTGACTACTAGAAGTAGAGGCTTTCGCTCCTGTTGGGTGACTGGTCTCGCCAGACTGTTGCTGAGAGGCGAAGGTGGAATCCAACCTCAAGCTGGTCGACCCTATCATCCACGGTAGTGGAACGTGTCTGTAGCATCGTAAAGCCTAGGATTTGGATAGCCTGGCTCTGATACCAATCTGATGAGTTACCGCTCACCTCAGAAGCCCCTTCGAGGGTGGCTTAACCTCCTGAAATAGATGGGTGGAGGGGGAGAGAGGGGAAAGGTATGAAGAAAATGACTAAGAGAGAGATGAAAGGGTTATTCATTTACACCACTTATTACATGATCAAGGCCTTATATAGCTGGCCTACATGTATGCAATCATGGAGAGAATATTTTCTGGTGGCAGTGTAACCAACTCTGGGAGGCTCTGAGTATAAGTAACTCTGCGAGGCTCTACCGAGTGTCATGCTAGCCTCTCTGTCTTCTAGTGAAATGTTGTTCGTTGGTGGCCTGCTCCACTCCTATAGTTGGGTTCGAAGGGAGTATTTGGGTCCCAACACCAAGCAAATCGATACTTTGAACCGTGTGTAATAACAACACTTTCTTGTTATATATATACCAAAAATGAGGAACTTTCTAGCATCGCATGCATCTTTAATTACTCTATGCAACAGTTGAGCAATCTCTTATTTTCCTAAAATTTTCTATGCTTTTTAACATCTTTTATTTATGAGCAATTATACTTTTTAACATCTTAATCCACTTTTCTATAGAAAATGAGAACCCATGACTCACGAGGCTAGGGCAGCAAGTTCTTTGATCTGAATTCAAATCCCATCCAAATTCAACTAGGCTATTAATGGTTCTCCTTAACAACTTTCTCTCAACTTTCTGTTTCTCTTGTATTTTCTATCAAACCAAACACAATCTTAGAGTCAATTCAATCCATTTGAAGCCGCCCTCCATGACCATGAGGTTTACATAATTGAAAATCCAGAGGTCCTGATGCCTCACTTTATTCTAAGTGTGTAAAACACACAAACACAGATGTAATCTAGGGATGTATTATAACTTCAATACCCACTATTTTCTCATTTTAAATATTTGTTTATTAGTATAAATGGTAAAAGTGAATTCCTTTGGAAACACTTACCAGGATAATTACCAACCTAGAAAGACAAATTCGAGTGTCACAAGATTGGCCCTAAAATAAGAAATGGACAAAGACGTAAAATCCCATAATTCCCTGTATTTGCAGAAAAATCCATGCTTACACTTTGTCCTTTGCTGGTTTAAGAGCAGTGCGATGAAATAAGACCCAATAATGCCAGAATTGCTCTAATTTTGATTATATACTAACTGCATCACATGTGAGAGATCCATTCACTTGTATAGTTCAGGCTTCAAAACCCCCACATAAGGCAAGTTCCTGTAGAGTTCAGCAAAGTCCATACCATAACCTACAACAAAGTAATCTGGGCACTGCCAAAAGAAAATGTAATTAATATTTTGATATTGCTCATAAGTGACCACTATATTGCATGAGTACGCTGTACAATGCATTCAACAGATGAAAGTAATATAAATTCAAGTATACTGCCAAACAGCATGCGAGAAAGAAAAAAGTGGACTACTGTAAGGCACCACAAATTGGTGTGGAATGTCTAATCAGCTATTCTTATAAGTAAAAACTTGTCCGGAAGAAAATCGAGAAAAAACAACAACGAACATAACTTCTTTTGTAGTAAAAGAAATTCCCCTAATTTCATATGATCATATGAATTGCTCTCCAAATGAAAAAGGACTAAATGAATAATTCATAAAAGAAAACTAGGAGCTGCATACTCCTCCATGTAAACTATAGGGTAAAAAACCTTATTAAGATAAAAACATGTGCAAAATCCATGCACAGTGAAAGGATCTTTTGTTCCACCAAAGCTAACCTCTTGTTGGACCTAGTACAGGGATTTATTCTCAGGATGTTTTGGAGAAAATCATCATTGAAGATAAGATTGTTCTTTCATCTGATTGAGAAGCAATAAATACTCACAATATCATTTAGGACAAAAAATAAAATAAAAAACTGCAGCATTACCACTATCTGCATAAAAAGGTGTAGTTGCTTAAAACAGACATGGAACCAAAGTTTTCATCTTTGCTTGAAACCAATAGATGACAAATAATTGGTTAAGTAATCCTGCAGAAATAATTAGTTCAGTAACCAGCATCTGCATGACAACAGCTAGCCACTTGTAATGGACTCAAAAACAAAAAAGAAATAGCATGGTAGTGTAACATCTCTACAGGAATAATATAGAGTTCATCAGGGTTCTCTTCATAAACCTTGTCAGACACAATAGTCAAGATCAATGTAAAAAGAAAAAAGAAATCATCAGGGTTCTCTTCATAAACTATGATATGATATAGAGTTCTTACCTCAAAGCCCCAATAGAACTTTCCTTCACCCACTAGATCAAAATGAACCTTCCGTCTCGATGGCTTATCAAGGAACGTGCAAACTGATACAGAACATGCACCTTTTGATTCCAAATGTGAAATGAGACAAGATAAAGTGTTTCCTGTGTCCACAATGTCCTCAACCTAAGAATAGAAATCATCAAAGGAATCTGTGATTAAAGTGTCTTTGAAGTGAACAGTAATTCAGAATGAGGTAAAAATGTGGATATATAAGGAAATTACTATTGAAGAAACAGACAGAAATAAACAGATGGACAGATGATTGATAGATAAATACATGGGCAAATACATGCACACAGAAGCAATAACTAACCACATAGATGCATAAGCATAAACATACATGTACACACACATACACCAATGCCAGGCTAACAATGTGCCTGCGTGTGTAAGTTTGCATGTGCAAACGTGAATATAAGAGAGGGTGAGCTCGGAAGAAATTTAACCACAACTTTGTTTCCATTAAGATAGGGACAGTGTTGTAAAAGCGAAAGTGAGTTCCCAAATCATAAAGCACAAGACAGACAGGGCATGCACCAGAACGAAGTGAGGCACTACTTTCAAGTTTCAAAAAAGGAAAATAACAGAAAATTTAATATACTAGAATATAAAAGTCTTCATTCTGAAATAAATAAATTATACAAAGAGCCTATTAGCTCAATTGATTAATTGAACCGTGTTTATTAACATGAAAGTTGTATCCTTATAGAATCTAGACCCACATAGGCTAAAATGTTTAAACTTTAAACTCTAAGCGCCACAAGTACACCTACAATGTAGTAAATACAGATTCAACATCAAAGTCAAGGTTAATTCATCAAAGCAACAAGCAGGAGAGGCGAGCTCAATCTGGGTTTAAGGGAGACATATGCTACCAAAGGAAACTCAACCATGAGCATGGTATGCTTTTTAAAACACTGGTTGAGTTTATTTCCTATTTTGACAGATAAATGAACAATCTCTGTCCCCTTCATTATAGCCCTGCTTGAGTTTTTTAAATTCTTTTGCTCCCCATAGACCAACATAGAGGAATCTACCTCTCTCTTCAATATAAATTCATTTGTATAAGTGTCATAACCTTCACTCCTTGAGTGCATGCAGTTTCTTAGTTTTTCCAGTTTTTTACTTGAAGCAAAACAGTTCATCAGGATTCTGTTCTAGTTTGCAATTTCCTTTCCTCTCTAGTTTCTTTTTCCCAAGCAATTTCCAATTTTTATCAAATAAAAACAAAGGAAAGAGACGCCTAAGCTCCTTATTTAAATGACCATAACATAGTCTTGATAGCAAACTGGAATCCACGAGTCGGTGAATTTGGCTAAAATAGTATCAATCTCATCGTTTAACCACATGGAGCTAGTGCATCTTTGTAATTCATAGCCCCTTTCTTGCACAGTTAAAAAAGACGTAAGTTCAACAGGGAAGTAGGATGGACCAACATTTACACTACAGATTGATCTCTTACCATCTTAAGACCAAACGTTTAAACCACCCTAGCATGGTAAAGAAGAAAACAACAAGCTGAAGTGCTAAATGGCCGACAACCTTCTCAAGAAAGACAGTAGTAATAGTAATAGCCCAGGCGGAACTTCTACAAGTAAAAACTAAAAAACCACATCCTCCCTTCACAAACACTTAAAGCCATTACCTCCTCCATGTCCCTCGGGATTCAACTTCTGAAACTTAACCGTCCTCCAAAAGTATAGAAAGTCTCGAAAACCACATACGAAAATCCAAACATAAGCAGCAATTTATAGACATTTTGTTCAATCATGCAGATAGATAAAATATAACAAAATAACATTTTAGTATTGCTTCCGATACCAGGATTACGTGCTTCCCCTTGACATCGACCTTAACATCGCTCGAAATCCTGGGAGCTCCGTTTGACTCGGTTCCAAAACCATACGACTCTGCCCGTATAAAATCAACATAGACCGGCAGTTTGGTTTTCCTCACTATGTCGGCGAGGAACATAAAAGCACCCGTGGCAACACCGACCATCACCACCGGAGACGACAAACCCTTTAAGTCGTGGAAGATTTGTGAAGCGACTTCTGAAACCCTATCGGAGATTTGTTCCTCCGTCCATAGAATTTTTTCAATGTGACCGTCCATCTGCAACTTCACGAAATTGAGAAAGAGAGGAACAGAGAGGAGGAAATGAGTGATGGAGGAAGTGATTGCGTGATGGGGAGGTTGGTAGGTACGTGGCGTGGGAATGGGGTTTGGCGACTTGGCGTTATTAGGGTTTTAGGGTTTTCATCGTATGAGTTTAAACTTCCTATAATAAGACGCGGGACCGATCGCGTTCAAAAAAAGCAAAAACAACCACTTGCCACAACGGTTGGTCGGTTACTGTGTTCCCGCCATTTCATCTTCAATCATGGGCCCTCGCAATGCGGAGATGTGATCTCCTCGCAATCGCATGAAAGGCATAGGCCATCTTGGCAATAGATTATAGTCCTTATATAGAGAGAGTGTTAGTGGTAAATTACTTAAATAAACATCCCTGACGTTTCTGACAACTACTTATATCTCCCCCTTAATTTTGACTTCCTCGAAAACATACCCTGAGGTTCAAGGTTTAACTATACTTATTTTATGAGCCTAATGGAAAATGGTGATGCTATGCTCTTAAAGTTTTTAAAATCACAAATTTGTTAGGGGATGATGTTGCATTAAAAAATTAAGAAATAAAAATAATATAGAAAATGGAAGGATATTTTGAAAATAAAAGTAAAATAGAAAATAGAAGAAAATGATGGAAAGTAAAAATAGAATGTAGATTAATTGAAAGAAAAGAAAAAGGAGTAATGGTATAAAACAACCACGAGAATAAAAGAAAATTGCAAAGACAAATGGAAAAATAATAATAAGCAAAAACTGTTTGGGAAATTATACTAATAACAATCAACAAATAATAATGCGAAAAAAAATGAAAATAAAACTGCAAAGAATCGAGAAGGGATAAAAGTGGTGAGTAATTCTTTTTATTAATTACTAGTTTATATTATTTTTTATTTTTCCTATCACTTTTTTTTGTTTTGCTCTATTTTCAATTATTTTTGTCATATTTTATATTTCAATTTTCTACCATTATTTGTTTTACTTTCATTTCTATCATTTGTTTAATGCAACACCATCCATGGGCAAATTGGGGATTTTAAAGCCTTTTAAGAGCATGGCATCATCAATTTCTATTGCGTTCTTAATGCCACATTAATGTAGGGGTAAACATGAACTGGTTAAGTTTGGTTCCATGGCCATAACTTGGAACCTACCCTATAGGAGTTGGTTCAAAGGTCAATTTTGGCCTTGATAGTTCTAAGGTCAATTCAAGGTCTACCCGCGAAACGAAACTTGTTTCAATACAAGTTCATCATAAAAATGAAACTTGTTCTTTAAAAAATTGATTTTCAATAACAACAACGATGACGACGACGATGATCATCACAAAAATATAGTTCAAAACATATTATCTTTTGCATTACTTATTATAAATAAACATTAAAATTGAACAAAGATGGTTAGATCACTTAATTAACTCAATTGTCAAGTGAGACCATGGTCAATGTAATCATTAAGTGCTTGGGTTCAAATATTCACAACCTTAAAGTATTTTGAGGTTTTTTCAATACAAGTTCAGTTCCACCAAGGTTAATCAAGGCCAATTCTTTGAGTCAATTTGGGTAGAGTAAACCTCTAGATCCTAGAATCAACTTGGGTGGTGGTTGCTTTAAAGATTTTGGAACCAGACCCCACTTGATAACACATTAGGTACAATATATTCAAGGCCGCTTCAAGGTCAATTCCATTTGGTTCTAGGTAGAGCTTTACTTATCCCACATCAATGGTAGGTATGGAAAATTTCCCCATGAAACCGCCCCTTGAATGTGATGGGCTTTCCATGATCTTAAATGGGGATGGGATGGGGACAAGGAAAATATTTTTCCCCAAACTAGAGATTGGGTGAGGACAAGGTTACATATAATTCCCCGAACCTACCCCAAACCTGTTGGAAATTAGTAAAATATCGCTAGATTTAATATTGACTTTTAAAATATCTCTAAAATTTCCCCAAATTCTTAAAATCATAAAATCCTATAATTCCATTTCTAAAGTACCCCCAATTTGTCATAATCCAATTCCTAAAATACTCCCAAATTCCCATAATCCTATTTGCAAAATATCCATAAATTAGATTATTTTTTTATGGTTGCCTTAGGGTGGGAAAATTTTGGAGATTCCCTATCTCCAATAGGAGTGGGTGCCCTACTCCATAGCCATTCCTAATCAATGGAAGGTATGATTTTTTTTCCTTTTTTTGGTAAAAATATTGATTCATCAGTAGGCAACCAAAGAAACAATAGAACAACAAAGGAAAAGAAGTAAGAAAAGGAGAAAACCAAAAATGAAAAGAAAAAACAACAAACTAGTCAAGAAAACAGGACTGCAAGTCCTTCTCTAGGACTGAAAGAAGCCAATCAGTAGGGGTTCCAAAGAAAGAGCCACAACTAGAGAGACCCTTTATAGTTATGTAGTGAGCTGCAACATTTCCTTCTCTACCAACAAAACTGAAAGAGAAACAATTGCCCCTTACTAACTTCAGGATATCAACAACAACAAAAAAATAGTCATGATCACAAGCAGGGGCATCATAATTCAGTGCTTTGAAAATGGATAAACAGTCAGTTTTGAAGATCACCTTTGACCATCCATTACTTCTTGCAAAAAGAATGCTCTCCCTGATAGCTATAGCCTCAGCATGTTGGGTAGACAGAGCAGACCTAGGCCCCATTTTAGTAGCAACAAAACACCTAAGATGGTTACTGACCACAACGCTCTTCAAAGAATTCAATTTTGGAGGAGCCCAAAAAATTATTTTGATTATGCACTATCACGGGGGGTGGAGACTCTCAAGGTGGGAGCTAGAGCTTCCTTGTAGTCCCGCTGGTACCTATTGAAATAGTAGAGAAGAGAAATAGAGTTTGGTTTATTGTTGTTAAAAACGCAATCATTTCTTTGTTTTTAGATAAACCACAATAATTGAGCTAAGGTGGACAAAAACTCATCTTTGTGATCTCCTAAGGATGTAGCTAAATCCACCCACCCCTTCCACTACTCAAAAAAGGTAAGAGGGATGGTATCCTCATCCCATTTGCAGCCCAAAGGGCTTCCAAACCAACTTTTGACGCATAGTCGCACAGGAAGAGGGCATGCATGGCTATATTAGGTCTAGATTTATAGATAAGAACAATTGTTCTTAGCATTGATGCCTCTTTTGAGGAGGCTTTCCATGACGGCCACACTATTTGTGCAGCACCTCTAGATGAAGTCTTTGATTTTTGGGTTTTGTCTTGATGGACCAAATACTACTCCAATAATTTTTGTGCAACAAGTTATTGAGGTCTTTGCATTCTCAAGAAGCAGATTTTGAATGTCTTTCCACTTCCAACACCTATTCTCTCTATCAATGAGATCACTAACTTTGTCTAAGGAACTTAAATCTGGCCTTGGCCTCATAGGTTTAAATCTCTTTAAGGATGGGATCCATGGGTCATCCCAAATATTCATATTACTTCCTTCATTAATTGCCCAATATGCTCCTTTCCTCAAGATTTTCATACCTTCCAAATGACTTTTCCATCCCCAAGAATCAAAATCTTTCATTTTTGTAGACCATAAATTTTCATTTTAACTTAACATAAACAGTCCTTAAAACTCTAGCCTAGAGACAATTTTGGTTTGCAAGAAATCTCCAAGCTAACTTCACAAGTAAAGCTAGATTGAAAAGGTGTGGGTCTCTGGAACCTAAACCACCATCCGTTTTACTTCTTCTCATAACCTCCAAACTTATCTAGTTGACATTTCTAACCCCTTTTTATTCCCCTAGAATTTTCTTTGAGTTTTAACAAGCTCACTACAAAGGGATTTTGGCAACAAAAAGTAGGACATAGCATAGGTAGGGATGGTAGCCACTACTGACTTCAGGAGAACTTCTTTACCTCTAAAAGAGAGGAGGGCATCCCTCCAAGCTTTTGTTTTATTCTGGGACCTCTCATTTAGGTAGTTAAAGATCATTTTCTTTGACCTACCAAGGTTAGATGGGAGTCCCAAGTAAACAAAAGGAGTGTCCACCTTTTTATTTTAAGGGCCTTGGCTATAATTTTTTGTAACTTGTGATGCATATTCTTACTAAAGAAAATTTCAAATTTGGATAAATTCACCTATTGCCCTGAGGCCATACTTTTGAATCTCATCCATAAGTTGTTAACCCTCAAGCATATCAACCTTTACAAAAATGATGGAATCATCTGTAAAGAATAGATGAGTGAGAATTGGGCAATCATTTCTCAACCTATTCTTTGAGAGCTGATTTTCATCATTTAGCTTTTTTAGCAGTGAGGAAAGCACATCAAAACAAAATAGGAAGAGGTATGAGAATAAAGGGTCTTCTTGCCTAAGCCCTCTAGTTGGCATAATAGCTCTACTTAGGGTACCATTAACCAAGATTTTATAAAACACAGAGGTTATGCATTTTGTAATCCATCCCACAAATTTCCTACCAAAGCCCATCTTGGTGAGAACCACCCAAAGGAAATCCCATTCCACCCTATCATAGGCCTTACTCATATCCATTTTAATAGCCATATAACCACTTTTCCTTTTGGTATGTTTAAGAAAATGGAATAATTCATGAGCAATGAGAATGTTTTCAGATATTAGCCTACTCGGAATGAAAGCACTTTGATTTTTACTGATGACACTCCCAAGGATTGGTTTGAGTCTATTCACCAAAATTTTTGCAATTATTTCATATATGGTATTGCAAAGGCTAATGAGTCTGAATTGGGAGGATCTTCTGGGCTCCTACTTTTTGGGATAAGAGCTATGAAGGTTTCATTCAACTGTTTAGAGAGCTGCCCTAAACAAAAAAACAACTTTTGACAGTATCCTTGACACTCTCTCCTACAGTCTTCCAATAGTTTTGGAAGAAAGAGTTTGGATAACCATCCGGCCCAGGGGCCTTCCCAGAGGCCATTTGGAACAAAGCATTTTGGATTTCAGTATCATTAACTTCTCTTTCTAAGGAGCTGATTGTTTCAACAGCAATACAGTTCCCAATCACATCAAAACAAGAGGGAATGGAGGAGGTGAAGAGATGGTGAAAGAAATATGTGAACACTGAGGAAATGTTCTATTGATCCTCTACCCACTCATCATTTGAGTCTTTTAATTTTACTATTATGTTCCTGGCTCTTTTTTAATAGTTTTTAAGTGAAAACAATTGTATATTTATCACCCAACAATAGCCAAATTTGTCTGCTTTTTTTTTAGCCCACAAATTTTCCTCTCTCGTTCGTTCCCAATCCAACCCATGTTCAGGATCCACTATACTCTTTGCCGA